GGCCTGGACACACAGTCCCACTGTGTGGGGCCGTCTCACGCCCGCCCAGACCCTGTGGCCGGTGGGGGGCTCCCAGGAATGCCCTTCCAGCCTGCGGGGCACTTTGGACAGGCAGGGTGGTCTGGGGAGACGGGTGTGTGCAGGGCAGCCTCAGGAGCTACCATCAAAGGGGCCCGGCAGAGGTGGCGCCAGGCGAGCGCCATAGTGGGCGCGGGATGGCTGGCGGTCAGTCCGTTCATCTCCCAGGGGAGGGGAGGCCGCCATGGGCACGCCACTCAGAGTGACCAACCGCCCTGGGGTACCTGGGACTTGAAACTTTCAGTGCTAAAACCCGGAGAAGTCCCCTGCTGTTGGTTGCTGCCCGGGGTTTAGGAAAGGACGCAGCGACTGACCTCTGTGGTCTGGGCAGCTTCCTTCCTGTCCGGTAACCTCTGAGTCAGACCATCCCAGCTAAGCCTGCCCAGGGCCATTTTGTCTACCTCCTGCTTCCACACAGGCCTGCCTCATACCTGAGAGGCCATTTTCCATTTCTCCTAGGCGTCTTCAGGAGAGGAACTGCCAGCCAACTACCCAACCACCGCTAAGAGAAACTTGGCCAGACAGGCAAGCCTGTCCTAGTCATCTCCCAGCACCCCCACCCTGCACCGCACCCTCCAGCCACCCCAGGAGGCACCCAGAATCACCTCACTGTTTCCTGCCTCCACACCTTTGCCCAAGCCATTTCCTCTGCCTGGGTCATCCCCCCCCCCCAACTGTCACCTCCTCAACCTGCAAGACTCAGCTGAGTGTCGCTTCTCCAGGGGAATGTTTCTCTCTGCCCCCACCCCACCCCCGACGTGGGCCCGTACCCCTCTTGGACATGCAGCCCCCGTTCTTCTCCCACTATCACATGTATCATACCCCAGGGAAGTTTTCAGTTTACCTGTCTCTTCCCACACCAGCCCATGAGCTCTTTAAGGGCAGACAGCCTGGCCCAGCCAGTCAGCCTTGTACCTGAGCCCCCAGCACAAGTCCAGGCTCATAGTAATGAAAAGGATGGAAACATTTATTGAGCACTTATTCTGTGCCAACCAGCCTGCTCATTTAATTCTCTCAAGAGCCCCAGGAGGTTGGTGTAATCATCACCCCTAGTTTACCAAGGAGAAACAGAAGCACAGAGAGGTAAAGTGACTTGCCCCAGACTACACAGCTAGGGAAGGGCAGAGTCAGGACTTGAACCCAGAGAGCCTGATTCCAGAGCCCAAGCTTGACTCTCGACATTCTTCTTCTTGATAAGCTTTTGTGGAATTACTGAATAAATGAAAACCTTTGCCTCTCCAGGGTCTCCTAAATCCGGCATGTGGCAGTTAAGGGCCATTTTTTCTGGTTCCCTCCCTGGAGGGGTAATGTCCTGGGGAGAGCACTTTTGCCTGTGGAGGTGCAGTTTAGGGATGCTGTGAGTGGGACCTGCCATTAGCATACCTCAGGGGGTACACATGAGGCTTCAGGTTAAAGGTGTCAACCTTCAACAGAGCTGTGGATGAGCCCTCAGGCATCCTAAAGCCATTGTCTACGTTTGTCAGATGGGGAAACCAAGGCCCAGAGAGAGGAAGGGACTTGCCCACAGTCACGCAGTATGTCCGGGTCACAGCCATTAGGTCTCAGCTTCCTCATTTGTCGAAGAGAGAAATAGATACCCTTGTCCTTCCTGGGAGAGTCCCTGGAACAGAGCTGGGAGGACGATGGAGAAGTGCCGAGGGCCCCAGGAGGCCCCTTTGCCCTCTCACACCTTCCCGCTCAGTGTCTGGATTTCTGCTATCAGCCTGCTGCTCCCAGGGTTAAGCATGGCTCTGTCCTTGTCTCCGCCTCATCCTCTACTGCAGGGTGGGATCAAATGCCTCTCCACTCTCTTCCCAAACCTCTTCTCCACAGTGAACTGAGAGGCGTTCTGGACCTTGGCTCAAAATGAATGCCCCCTACTCTCTTAAGTCAGAGAAACCCAGAGGATAGGTGGGGTGGGGTGTGGGGGCAGTTGTTGGACGTTACTCAAAGAAGTTACACTTTTCAAGGGATCCAGGGGGCTAGGCCTGGGGGATGGGCCACGTTGAGGAGCATCAAATCCAACTTATTCCTCCCTTTGTACCTATGAGATGATGGCAGCCCAGAGATGTCAAGTGACTCAGATGGAGTCACACAGCACATGGGTGGCAGAGCCAGGCAGAATACTGGGCTCCAAACCCAACCAGGCTGTGCATCACACGGGATTTTCAAAACCACATGTGTCCAAGCCCGAACCCAAGAGATTCTCCCACAGTCTGACATGGCAATTGGGAATCCAGGTGTTTACAAGCTCTCTAGGGGTGGTGATGTCCCAGACCTGCTGGCTCCATCACGTCCTGATGAGGGACAAGGACTGGAGACTGGAGTTCCTGCTTGTATCGAATTCAGGAGGTCCGTGAACTTGGGCGGGAAACACAAACAATCTTTCCTTTCACTGACCTCTAACTGAAATTTAGAAACTTTTTCCCCAGTGATTTTGTCATGGTGGAAATCACAGATAATCTCTGGTCTCATTCGGTTGTCACAGATGCTCTTGAAATACCGTTTGTACTCATTACCCACCACCACTGCATCATGGTCGTTGCGGGAGCCACTATGAGCTCTTTCACTCAGTGTGTCACCAAAGAGGCACATGGTCACGATCTCACAAGCTTGCCTTTCCACAGCTTGCTAACTGTATTTCCAAAGACTTGGTTCCCTCTGTAATCCCATGGATTTTGTTTTATGTATGTAAGAATGTGATTCTGAGGAGTCTATAGACTTCCTGAGACTCCGGAAAGGTCTGTGGCTGAACAGGTTAAGGACCCTGTGTGGGGCTGCGTGGGGCAGCGTGGGGCCAAGCACGGGAGGACCCAGAGCTTGGATCTCTGTGGGGACAGAATGGGCAGCTGCGGCCTTTTGAGTCTCCAGGGACAGAATCTGGGAGACAGATCCCCCAAAATGAGCTGTAAGCAGAACATGGGGAATAGAACTAGGCAGGAGAGAGGGTGCCAACAGGGTGGAATTGCAGGGAAAGCCTCAGACCCCGTACCCCAGGCCTGCCCACAGACCCTGCCTTACAAGGCCTATCTGTGTCCCTGTCCACCAGGGTTCAGCCTGCCCTGGCCAGCGGCCTCCTGTCTCTGGGCACACGCTGGGCCAAAATCCTCCGGCTTTCCTCTCCCTCTCCCTCTCCCTCTCCCTCCGAGTTGCTGTCTGTCATTTCCTGGGCTTCATGGCGTCAGGAGCCCATCCTAGGTGGGCCAGCCCTTTAATCCCGGCTCCCAACGTTCCTTTGTTTTAAACTCTACATTTCTCCATCTTACTCATGGAGGGAGAAATACAGATTACAAAGACTCAGCAAATGGTTTTTATAAACTCTTATTTTCTTGCCACAGAACTGCCTTTAATTAGCTCTGAGGACTACAAAGGGAACAGCATTATAATAGGGGCAGCTTGAAGGAAAGAGCCCATGGCTTTCAGCTCCTGGACTGGGGCTGCTGCTGTCACCAGCCACAACCAGGTTTGGTGGGAGTGCCCCTGCCGCAGGCACAGCAGGCCCCTTTCGGTCCCCATCTGCAGCCACACAGCCTGCCTGCTTCAGCTTCTCTCCAGGGAGGAGGAACGGTCCTGCTGCCAGGCAAACTCTTGCAGAAACCTTTGGACAGTCAGCACCCAAATGTGTCTTGATCCCTGCCCAGAACCAGCTACCCAACAACTGTTAGGTAGCAGTGGGACAGGCAGACAGGCAGAAGGGCAGATGAACAGTCAGACTGATTTCTGCGTCTCAGCTGAGTAATGGCAGCATCAACCCCCCAAACCTTGGAGTTCTCAGCCCCCACTGTTCTGGAGGAGAACTGGTCCCTGTGTCCAACCCAGAGGCACTGCCCTCATACACAGCCCATTCTCAGCCTTAGGCCATCAGCGTGTTATAGCCAGAGGGGCCTCTATTTGGGGCACAGAGAGGTTAAGTAACTTGGCTAAGGCAGCTCAGCAAGGTAGCACTTGAGCTGGGACTGAGGCTCAGGGACTCTTGACCTCCAATCAGCCCACCTGCTGGGGAAGGGGGGGAGGAAGACAGCAGGGGGTTGTCTGAGGCCCTGGGACATCAGCCCCCTGGGCCAGAAAGAGGCAGGTAAAATCTCCCTCTCAGTTTCAGCCTCAATCAGAGGTTTCAAGTGGGGGATCTTGGACCCCTATACTGGTTGAGGGACTCAACCCAGACCTCCGGGTCTCTCTAGGCTATGCATAGAGGTAAAAGCTGCCCAGAAACACTTTCTTGTCCCCTATAACCAGCTTTGCAGACCTTCCCGAGGCCTATGCCCCTCACACTGATCCAGTTTCAGTGCCCCCCAGGGCTGCACAAGTTCTCCCCAAAAGCTTGGAGCCTCCTTCTCTCAACGCTTCCCGTACCCCAGGGATCATTCAGAGAACATGGGAGAAGGCCACTCAGGAGGGTCTCAGGAAGGGGCAGCCTTGCCCCCCACCTGCTCCACGGCTCTCAGAAGCTGGCCTGGCTCTGGGAATACTAAGTGTCTCCTTGAGTCCGTGTCTGCCTGAGCCCAGGTAGACGGCTCAAGCTCTCCGGGTGAGCCAGGGGCTGGGGCTGCAGGACCCAGGAGCCCCGTTAAGTAAGGCAGGAAGCCATGGGTCACCGGAACACACCCCAAGTCCTCTCCACCCCAGGACCCTCAAAGGCCTGCCCTTTGAGGTCTTGAGGTCTTGCGGTATCCATTGCCCCTACCACTAACTGTTCCCACGAGCTGAGAATTAAAGTCCCACAAAGATGTCCACTCCAGGAGACCACGGAGGCCACCAATCCCTCTTCCCACCTCAGGCTTTCAGAGGCCAGCGGATTTAGGTTAGACAGGCAATGTACTTGAAGGCAGCTAGGATGGTCGGTGGAGGGACGTGGTCCTGGACCTGGCCACAGCTTCCCACCCGAAAGGGCCTGCCCAGGGCCCTGGGCAATAGTTACTCACCGCGGATGAAGGTCGGCGTGTAGGTCGGGAAGGAATCGAAGATGCTGTTTGATGCCATGCCCCGCTCTGAGGAAGGCGAGAACTCGGCCCTTCACGGGAGTGGGTTGGGATTGACTTGGTTGGCTGTTGTTTTATTTTTTTCTTAGCTACTTTTTGAAAATAAAGTGGGGGGTGGGGGGGTGTTGCTTTTTTTTGTTTTGTTTTGTTTTGTCTCTTTTTCCCCCCTACTGCTACGAAAAAGAAAAAAGGAAAGAACGCGAGAGTGTGTGTGAGCGAGAGAGAAAAAAATCCCCAAGGAAAGTAAGTTTCTGTTTGTACCCAAGAATTTGGATTCCTGGTCCCACAGGAATGTCTAGCCACAAATTTTCAACAGAAGCGTATGCAGAGTGTATCATTAGATGGCGGGAAGGGGCCTTCGGCAGCCAGGGCGGAGGAGCTCGCAGAGCAGTGAGAGCAAAGCCAGGCCAGCATCAGCGACACGGGGGAATGAATGAATGAGGCTCACCCCCCGACAGAGCCCAGGCTCCAGTGGGTGCGAGGGCGGCCCGGGGGTGGGAGTTCCAGGAGCCAACCAGCTCCCGCGCAGGGCCCTGAAGGCAGCTGAGGGCCTGGCCTTGTGGTTCTGTGGTTGAAGGACCAGGCCTTCACAGTGTCAACCCAACCTCAGCTCACAGGATGCAAGAAGCCAGCTCGCGGCCTTGGCCCATTGGCTGGGCTGCGGTCACCTGGGCTGTGATGTCACGGCCTCTTAGAAGGCTGCCTCTCGCTCTTTTTGGAGAAAAAAAAAAAGAAAAAAAGAAAGAAAGAAAGAGAAAGAGAGAAAAAAAAGTGATGGCTTTTATTTGTGGGGCTGGCCTCAGCACGCGGCCCAGAAGCAGAACTGAAAGCAGTGGGAGTGGGGCAGCTGGGGCGGTGGTTTGGATCCTGTGGGAGACTCCTTTTAATTAAGGTCAGCGTTGGCCAGGGCGGGCTGGGAGCTCTGCGGGGCCCTCACCGGGCACCGGCAGCCTGGATCCACCAGTGGGCGGAGGGCTCCCCTCCATGCCCCCTGCCCCTGGGCTGCAGCTGCCACCATCATTGTCCACCACACTGTTGCTGGAGAGAGGCGTCCACATGTGTGGCTGGGTGGCACTTCAGGAGGATTTTATGGGAGTTGGGATTAAGTACAAATAGGAAACACATGAAGCGGCATTACCAGCGCTCATGCCTCACTGCGGCCTGCCCACCGAGAAAGGCCTTGCAGGCGTCACGGTCCTCTGCAGAGCTTGGGTTCTGAGGCCCGGGCTTGTCATTCAAGGCCTTTGGCTCGTTTTGCTCACCTGTGCGTCCCCCTGAGGTTCTCTTCTCTGGCCTAATGTGCCTGGGCTTGCCGTCCTCTGTGCCTTTGCTCATGCTCTGCCCTCTCAGTGCCCTTTGTCAGCCCCCTTTTTGAATCCTTCATGTCCCAGAGGGTTTGAAGCTCAGAGGGACTCAAAATTAGAAAAGACATGGAAGATGATTTGACCCTACACTTCTGTGTTCCCAGAAGCTAGGTCAGGTGTGGAGGGAAGGTGGTGGTTTTTACTATTTCCTTGCAAGCTCTATTCTCCCATTTCACAGGCCAGATTATTGAGGCCCAGGACCTTGAAGTCAGTGTGGCCATAGCACGCTTGAGTGGGATTAGAACACTAGCCTCTGACTCACCAGCCCCGGCCTCGGCCATGACCACATAGGGCTTAAACCAATATAATTTACTCTATCAAAGTAACTCTTGTCAGATGTATTTCTTATGCCTGTGGCAGAACGCCCACCCTTTGATGCCCTCTATGCTAAGTCCTGAGACTTCAGAAAGCCCTCTGCAGCCTGGGCCCTGCCCGCTCTGGCCACTCCAGGGAGCCCACGTTTGTGGCCAGTCCTTAGCCCCAGCCTTGGCTTCACAGTGGTTTCTATAGACTAACAGAACAGGAGGGGCATCTGGGAGGAGAAGGGGCTGGTCCAAGGTCCCACAGAGACTTGTTTCTGCCCAGAGCCACACTGGGTCACCTAAGACACTCACTTTCTGTGTTTCACCTGGAGCCCCAGGAAAGCTCAGTCTTCTGTCCCTGAAGGGTGAGTCGATGGTGGTGTGTGTGTGGGGGGTTCTAATTGGCCCAGGGAGGAGGCAGATCTATAGTGAAAGCCACAGGGCTCTAGAGTCAGATTTCTCAATTCCAGTCCCAGCTCTGCCGAATCCCAGCTGCAAGACCAGGGGGCAAGTCATTTCCTTTCTCCGGACCTCAGTTTCTTTCCTTGTAAAACGAGGATAACATTTCTCAGAGAGGCAGGCAACGGGGTGAGGGCACCGTGAATGTTGGTTTCCTTGCCTGAGTCTTGGTGACGTAATTTGGGCTCCGTTATGAGTAATCACAGGTAAGGAACCATTGCAGTCACGTAGGAGGACAGGCCGTCCTGATGTAAATTCTTCAGCTGGCCCAGCCTGGGCAGGACCACGGGCTCAGCGGCACAGATGGAGCCTGCCAAGGGGCCTCGGCCTCCTGGTTAAATTCGGAACGTTTAGAGTCTGCCATGTTGTGGACTAGATCAGAGCAGGACACAACTGGGAAGACCCCCTTTCACAGAAGCGGAAACTGAGGCCCCCAGGGGGGCAGAGACTCACCCAAGCTCACACAGTGAGTCAGTGGAACCCGGGCCCTGCTTCCCAGCCCAGGAGTTCTTTCCACTCGACCAACACCACCTCCAGTTTCTAACGTACCACACTACGCACTTTGCTGATTTTTTCCACATGTAAGAGTGGGCCCCCCATAACACCTATAACTTGGTCGCCTGGAGGGACTCTCCCTCCCTGGGAAACTGAGTCCAGGCCCAGGAACTGAAGGGGGCCCAGGAGGCGATGTTGGGCTTACGAACGCACCTGTTGGCCCCAGTGGCGGTTTAATGCATTCCTGGGGCAATGTAGCAAATACATACTGGGTGCCAGGTTTCATTTCATCCTTCTCTCAAGAGGCTTATCACCTCCACGTGCCCCCTAAGATGCATGTGCCAGACTTTGCATAAACCCCGGGAAGCTGCCTGGAGAAGCAGAAGGAACATTCCTGAAGCCTGATTTTGGTCCTTATGAGCTGTGAGATCGTGAGCAAGAGGCTTTTTTCTTCTGAGCCTGCTTCTGACAGAGCCTGTGAGATGGGGCCAATTGCAGTCCCCACCTCCCAAAATTGCAAAGAGGATTAAATGAGGAAATAGTGTGAGTTTGCCTGGCACACTGGAGGTGCCCAGTTCCCAGAGTCTCCTTTTCCTCCAACTTCTGACTAAGCATTCTCTTAGCATACAGTGGGCAGTCGCTTTTCCTCTTATCCTCTATTCAAAAAAATATCTGCTATCATAGAAGACTGAATATCTGAACTGATTAGATCAGGTAAATCAAAAAATTTGGTTGAAAGGGAATCCTCAAAAAAAATAGTGTTTATGTTCCTTAAACTTTTTATTTTAACTTTAAGCTTACAAATGTGCCTTAAATGACCTTCGTCATTCTTCTGGCTTAAGCCCACCCAGATGGCATCTCCTACAGCTTCCAGTTTTAGCTTCTTCAAAGTGGAACATGAATGCAAAGACGCTTATGAAGCAATCAGCATCCAGTAGTAGCATCTGGATTTTACTAGTTCCCTCAATCTTTTACAATGTCCCATCCGTATTTAATTCCATTAATTTTTTTAGCAACTTACCTTTACTGAGTCTTTCCAAGGTAGTCGACCTAGTTTTCAGAGAAACAGCCACTCTGGTTTTGCATCATATCATTGATAACGTAACATTCCCATCAGGGAGGGTCCAATCAGGAAAAGACAAGTCCCTTTGAGTATTGGGAACCGAGGGAAGTTAATTCAGGGATTATAGGCAACATAGGTGATGGAATGCTGGGAAGCCAAACAAAGATGGCAAGAGGACCAAGATTAGCCACAGCAGGGAGCCACTGCCATCCTTTGGCAAGAAGGACACAGAGAGAAATGGTGTTGCCAGGGCCCCCCAGTGGAAGCAGGTTCATGGTAGAAGAGTCAGGCATCTGCTGGACACACAGGAGACTTGGCTACTAGGAAGACGCTCCCAAGACAGATGCTTCCCATCCTTCAGTCTCCTTCCAATGCCTCCCATTGGTTGAATGGAGCTGGAACCAGGTGACTTAGTGGAATCAGACCCCTGAATTATAGAGCCAAAAGCAGGGAGAGGGAGAATGGATCTGAGGGCAAACTGGCCCTGGACTGGCATACTCTCCAAAGAAGCTCTGTAACCATGAAAACCAAATGGGCAGAAACAGGTTTAGAAACAAACCCAAGTGATGTTTGGTGAGTTGACAGCTCAGGGAGCCGGTGGGAGCAGACGGTGTGGATCCCAGAGAGGGAGCTGCTCTCCAAGGGCATCGATTGGCATATTATACCGGAGGGGGGTGCCGGTGAGCCTCGAGCTGATCTCATGGGGGTCAGTTAAGAAAGCACCCACTGTGAAGGCTGATGAAATCTGTTTTCTTAACCTGTGCGCAGAGCTGATATTTTCACCATAACCTTGGGTTACTGTGATTAGGGAATGAAGTCACCAGTCATGAGCGTTGGCCACAGGGTCTGTCTATGAACTGTATAGTACATAAAGACGGGACACCCCCAAACCCACTGGGCCCTTTCAACAACCTACGGGACAGGCTTGGCTCTCTTCCCCTTTCAGATGACGAAAAGACCAACCCCAGGGATTGACCCCAAGTTCTAGCTCCAGGGGTCAGTGCAGTCAGCTTGGCCCAAATGGGGAGCAGAGGTGAGGTGGGCACTAGTCTTGGAGTTCAAATTCTGGGTTTCCACCAGCAAATCACAGTGCTGGGCCCAAGGAAGATTCTGGAGCGATATGTGATATGTGATACCTGCTGCAGGCTGGCCAGGGGGCTCTAGCTCAGGCGCAGCACAGAGACTTCAAGATAAGATGCCCCCTTCTGTCTCTCCACCCCCTTGCTCTATGGGCGCTCAGGGCAGAGGATGAGGCCAGCAGGCCACACAGCCCACCAGGGACCAGAATACCCAAGGCCAACCCAAGGGGTCATTAGCTAAGGACCTACTATGTGAGGTGCACACAGTATCTCCAGTGGTGTGCTTCCAGTGCAGCCAACCATGCTAAGCAGTTTTCCTGCCAGTTTCCTGGGGATGGTCAGAGAAGTAAAGAGACCTGCCCAAGGTCACCCAGTTTGTAGGTGGTGGAAGCAGGATTCAAGCCCAGCCAGTCCTTCGCCTGCTTTCTGGGCTCCTCTCCCTCCCTGCCCCCAGCCTCTCTCTTTCCTGTTGTTTGTTATAAAAACTGCTCATGGTGCCCCCTTCAGAGCCAAACCCCTCCCCTCTCTTACTCTACCTTCCTGCCTCAGTCCCCTTCTCCAGGGCCCTCCCTTTGCAGGCCTTACTGCTATTCCAGTGTAGCTACAATCGTCACGTATCTTAGTGGCATGGAGGACAATGTGATGACAGTTTTACCCATAGCATCTGCCTCACCAGG